AGCCTATTTATCAGTCCTTACGGCGTGAAGAAAGGTCTCTGGTTGTGTTTCCAGCCGCTGCGACAAAGAACCTTTATTTGCTCCGTCCTGCTGTAAAATCTGAGCCCTAGAGACTCCATTCAGGCGGGCTGAATGTCCTGCCACCGCCAGATGACTGATACTGTGTGTGTGTGTGTGTGTTGCTGCCCAGTCAGATTTGGACATTGGGTTGTTGGAACCGAATGGGCATCTTTGATGGCAGCAAGCCAGAGCTTTCAAGTTTTAATAAAAAGCACAGAAGCAAGCCGGCCTCAATTCATCCTCTGAACAAGACCGGCTTTGTGTATTGATTGGGGTGCTTGTGCCCTGTGAGAAGGGGAGCCCTGTAACACCAGGCGCAGCAATGCCATCTGCACACCCCCACCCCACCCCTCTATTTCTACCTGACAGTCCTTTTGTTTTCTCCTCCAGATTGTTCATCCAAAGCCTGAAATATTTACTCGCCATCCGTTTACCCAAAAGAAAGTTTGTTGACCTCTGATCTAAGATGTACAAAGATACTCAAATGACCCAAGGTTTAAAACTGTGCCCAGGACTGGCTCTGTGTCTGACCTTGGCCTGAGCGTGCATCTCCTGAGGCCACCACAACACTTGATTACTAATTAGCAGGGGGTCCTTCTTCACCTCTCCCAGCTGCTGCTCACCCAGGCACCCCTTGGCTTATGACAGCATCACTCCGATCTCTCCCTTCTCCCTCACATGACCACCGCCCTCTTCCTGCCTCTGTCTCCATCTCTCTCTGTTCCCTTGTAAGGACACCTGTCAGCAGATTTAAGAAGGCCCCTGGTTTGCACACATGATTTGTGCTCAGCCACTCACCTAAAGGATGTTGGTTTAAACCCACCTAGAGATGCTGCGGAAGAAAGGCCTGGCCGTGTGCTCCCACAAAGATCACAGCCAACAAGACCCTGTGGAGCTCAATCGCATACCCTTAACACCCCGAGCCGCCGTGATGGGAACCGGCTTGATGGCAGTGGGTTTGGCTTTGGTCATTGGGTTTAGGACCTACCCTGAAGCCAAGACGATTTCATCTCAAGACCCTTAACCGAATGACATCAGCCAAGAGCCTTTCCTCAAATAGGGTCATCTTCCCAGGTTCTAGGAGTTAGGGGGTGGGCATCCTGGCTAGTCGCCCTGGCGCAGTCAATAATGTGGCTGAGGTGTGGCTTTCTTGTCCCCTCCAGGTGTGTGTTGGGCTGCTGCTTCATCCCCTTCTGCGTGGATGCCCTGCAGGACGTGGACCACTACTGCCCAAACTGCAAAGCTCTGCTGGGCACCTACAAGCGTTTGTAGAACTCGGACGGACGTCGAGGGAGCCGTGCCCCGCAGGACGTCCCCTCCGGCCCTCGCCCAGCCCCACCGTGGCGGAGGCTCCGCCTTGGTGGTCTTTTCTCTCCAGGAGCCCATCATCAAAAGTCACAAACTTCTCAGCCCAGACTTTGCTGCTTAGAGATGCACAGGACACGCAATGATGTTCCGGCAAGCGCCAGCCCAGGGCCTTCTGCCCCCCTGAGACCCCAGCTCACCCCTTCTAACTGGGGTGGTTGCCTGGTCTGAATACCTTCCGGGGGTCCAACATGGGCCGGCCCCTTTCCCTGCCTCCGTGAGTCCTTCTGGTGGTGGTCTCAGGCTGAGAAGCCATGGGTTGCCTTATTTTCTAGACTGTTCTGGCCTGGACGGGGTGGAACTCGCCCGAGTGTCCACCAGCTTCATCTGCTCCGTCCACCCACCCTGGGGACACAAATCTTGCCTTAGAGCCTTCAGGGCTTGTCTCTGACATGGCAGTTGCTGACTTTTCAGTAGCACACAACTTCACTTTAATTCCTTTCATCCCTCTTTTAAAAATCATTGCCAGGAGGCATTACTCCCACCCACCAGGCACTCGGCCTTGGGGAGCAGAGCTGGCTTCTTCCCTCGGGCCTGCCTTCCCCTGACCCTCAGCACCAGATCCTCCATGCCACTGTCCATACGCCCAGCCCCTCACCCCCACCCCCCCACAGCAGTGGTTGGCATGACAGGGCCCGTGACAGGCGGGATGGTACAGAATCACTTCTTCACCAGCGGCCAGTAGCATTTTTGCATCTGCTGAGGTACTCTCACTTTGTCTTTTTCTTTTTTTAGACAGAAAAAGGAAATGAGTCATTTTACCGGCTGCATTTAATTGGGTGTGCTTAACTCTCATGGTGGGGCCCTCAGGGTCCTGGTGGTGTGTTTGCAAAGCCCGGTGAGCTGTGCCCGGGCCGGTGGTCCGAGGACTGGGGCGCTGGCCCGCTCCAGGGAGTCTGAGGGCCGGCCTCGGCCGGCCGCTGTGACGTCATCTGAGACGTGAAGACAGCCACTCCCCAGCGCCCTGTGAAGAGTGAATCATTGCAGGCGCTCCTTACATAGAAATCAAGCCCCGGCCGCAGCCAACTCTGTAGTTAGAGACGTCGTCAGCGTTCTGCTTACTCTCGTGCTGTCTTGGAAATTTC